ATTCGACAACATCAAACAAGGCCAATCAGCTGCTAACTTGCGTCTGTCAGATTCGTCGTATCCATGCACGTGATTGAAAAGGTCTTCTCCATCACCATTTCACTCTCTCGACAACTTCAAAGTCCGGAACTGGATTTATTGGCATGTCTTGAAATGGCGGAAGATATTCTGATACTTTTAATAGACATGCAACAAAATTCATCAACGGATTTCTCTGAGATTTGGAAGGTTGTGTCAGCAACTTGCGTCAGACAATCCGTCACAGTTGATCTCCCGAGGTCAGTGAAGACCAAATTGAGGAAAAATGCAGAAAACCCTGCAAATAAAATGGACGCTGAAACTTTTTACCGCTCAACGATTTTTGAACCATTTCTGGAGAGTGTTGTTGAATCCATTACGCTAAGATTCCGGGAACACAAGAATATACTTAATCACTTGCAAAGCGTTGTTCCCATATACATGACCCCCATAAATTTCGGAAGTGAACTTCATGAATTTCTTCAGGATCAACTAACTGACTGCGTGGAAGTAATCAAGTCAGAAATTAAGCTATGGCAAAAGAAATGGGATGCAGTGGAAGTTCACGAGAAACCGAAAAATGCCCTTGAAGCGCTTGACAAATGTGATCCCAATTTTTTTCCAAATATTCATTACTTTTTGAAGGTATTAGCCACCCTGCCGGTCACATCATGTCCATCTGAACGTTCCTTCTCAACACTTCGCCAGCTTAAAAATTACCTGCGGAACACAATTAGCGAGGAAAGGTTGACAAGTTTGGTCATTCTTTATATTCACCGTAACTACCCGGTGGACGTGGACTCCGTAATTGAAAAGTTTATTAGTATTAAACGGCGCAGGATGTTATCATAATTTAGGATGGTTCGGAACCAATGAATTAAATTTTGATGTAGCTAGTTTTTTAGCATAAAATATACTAACGTTGACCTTTTTAGTAATTTTAATGAAATTCTAAAATTACATATTTACATATTTAGCATGAAATTATTGGCTTGAATTTATTTCTTCATACACGAATCAAAACGTACATTGCATGGCAAAACTCTTTGCACGTAATAAAATATTGCAATCCGATCAAAAAGTACTTTAATTGATGATTTATTGCCTTCAGCCCCCCCCAGACCCAAATCCTGGCTACGCCGCTGACCAGAAATAACCGTATAATATTACCAAACATTAATTGTAAGACTAAATGGGGAAAATCATCTTTTCATGTATCTGGCAGTAAATCATGGCTAGCATTACCGACTACTTTATCAAATATTAAGTGCTTTACCACTTTTAAAAGAATTTTATATGCCTTCCTTTTAACTAAGTAAATTACAGATTATACAATATCTTCAAACAAGCTGGACTTGTCTGAATGATCGTAAAACAATTACTATTGTATTCATATATAATATTCGGATATTGAAAGTCTCACTTGTAACTGTATATGCTATACGACCTGTGGTGTAATTTTCCACTTCGTGTGGGTACCACTTGTATGAAATAAATAAATAAATAAATAAATAACATTGGGCTTATGGGGGAACAATAATAAATTCCTGGAAAATAGGGAAAATAAGTAATTTATAATTTAGTCCCTGGACAAGTTTTGAATTTGCGACATTATAAAGTATGGATTGCAAAAAAGATAAATTTTATATTTTTCAATTCACATAGGATGCTTATCTTCTCTGCTCGGTGTGCTAATAAGGCGCTGTGTGGGTCGTGATCCTAAATATGGTTATGATCGTTATTAATTCTAGTGCTCATTTGGTGAGAAATAATGCGTAAAATGTCTGGAATTATGTGGGTCGTATTTTTTCACCAAAATAAATTACCTCACCTACCAAACTTTGTAGAATATGTAGATGTAAGCAATATTGAGACTTAATTGGTAAATGATATAGTCAATTTGAATAAATATAGATTTTTTGTTAAACAAATTTTTTCTAATTAAAAAAAGTCGCTTCAAATTATTACATCACCCTAATTGCTTTTTTGGTTTTAACGAACACTACACGTAGCCCTAATTCCTAATGGAATTATCTGCGTCGTATTTTTCACCAAAATAAATTACATCATCTACCAAACCTTGAGCCATCAATAATAGATAAACGGTTATAAAATACTCCAATTGCATCACCCTCAATTATGGTCTTATCAACACCAAATTAATCTCTTATTATCAATCTGTCATGAACAAGATTGCTATTATATATCGTCACACTATTTATCGCTGAATTCCACTACACTCCTTATCAATGCATACTTCCGTTAGTTTGCTTACCAATCCCAGCTATCCTTTCATACCCCTAATTCCATTTCATGCCACACATTCATCCTTTCTAATTCCTTACCTTACAATAATCTAAAAAGGTGTAGGAAACGAACACGCAATTAATATTAAAAGACAATTTCTCGTGTCAACTATAGTTACCAGCAATTTCTGTTACATACAGACTTGATTTTAAAATGACCAACGTTTCGCTCCCATTCCTCCTAATCTCCATTCTTACCTCATTATTGTTACCATCTATGGCGGAACTCCTCGCAGTTGAAGTATCCACTAAATTACCATCTGCTAGGTACGGAACCTCCGCAATCTACGATGGAAACGACATCATCTATATATTTGGTGGGTACAACATCGTAACCCGCACACATTTGGCAGATATCGTTAAGTTCACCCTTTCAACTGAGGAAGTCAAAATCGTGGCTTCCCTGCCAGTCCCAATGAGTAATGAAGTCACATCAATTGACTACCGTACAGGCGACATTTACTTTCACCATGGGACAAGTTGCTCCCCCGCGATGTCATTAGGAGTTTACAAATACATTCCCAACACGAACACGGTGGAATTGGTGGCCAATTTGTCCACCTGGAATTTCAATTGCGCTGCCGTTCCAGCATATGACAACCCGGCAGAAGTCTACATCCTTGGAGGATTTGGGATTGGAACACATATAGCAATTTTCACCATGGACGATCATACCTTTCGAAAAGCTGGAGAGTTAACGAGAGAATATTCCTATGCCGGTGCAGTTTCGGATGGTACAGGGTCTGCCATACTTTTCGGGAACCATTACAATGGTTATGGTTATCCCCCAGCAAAGATTACTTTTTACAATTCAGAACACAACCTACGGTTCAGTAAGCCTTATTTTCATTTCGCCAATTAACGCAGTTTGGGAGGGGTCGTATGCGTATCTTCTAGGCGGATATGACTATGTGCCGGACCAGGGATATATGACGCGCAGTATTATTCAGGTGAAATTGCGGGTACCCGTTTGTCTGCGGGTAGTTACTACTACCCGCACGGGTAACGGGTATTTCGATTTTACATAATTAAATAGCTTGCCTTGCGCAGCCAGTGAGAAGTTGATTTAAATAAGAGTTAAATATCTACTTTGACAATTTATTTTGCATCATTGATGCAGAATTTAATCATGGTTGATAGTGAGCGTCATTTTTCAGGAATTCTGCGACAGTCTCAGTGCAAAACTAACAATGAGCTGGTGTGAATTGCAACACTCACAATTGTCAGATTGTGAAATTTGAAATTTTGAAATATAAGGTTAAAGTCAATACAACCAACGTGTTTATTGAGGCAGTTTGTGTGATAGTAAGAATTTATCAAAAATTTTCAAGTCAAATTTGAAAAGGGAGCGATTTTTAACAAGTGGGGAAAAATCCAGTCCCTCCCCAATAAAAATCGGTAATTCATCAACTTTGATCCCAAATATTTTGACAAATTCCAAATATCGCTCAAACTGTCCTAGATTCACTTGAACGACACAATTCCAAAATTTAAACAAAATCGGAATGTTGCACTTCACACCATTCTATTATAAGTTAAGAAAACGGGAAGAAATTATTGTTTCTCAAGCATAACTTACCTGCTCTAAAATTTCAGTAATTTTATAGTAATGTGGTATTGGTGACCTTCAACTAGTTTTTGTAGGAGTAAAAAAAGCATGATGCGATTTAAAGCAAAAATTGAGGTTGCGAGCCAGTGTTTTTAAATAAAAATGTCATTTAAATGAAAATGTCAACAATCAAGTCCCACTGCTGTCTTGCCTAACCCTAAGTCAATAAGTTTGTTTTCATGAACAGTTAGTTAAATAAAGCTAATTATATCGTCAGCAATTTCTAGTAGCACTCTCTCGAGGTTCTTATTAACCTAGAAGGGTACCTAATTAATTAAATCTGTGTTATTTTGGTAATGTGTTAATGTTTAACTGAATTCTTAGAACCGGTAACGGGCAACGGGTACCCGTGCGGGTACGGGTAGTCGGGCTGCGGGTAGCGGGCCGGGCAACGGGTAGCATTTTCGCTACCCGCGGCAACCCTAGTTTAAACTACTTCTTAACTAATTTAGTGAGCACATATTAGTTTCATCATTAATATTTGAAACAATTTCAAAGTACATCACAAACATAAAATAACTCTTTCAGTAAATTGGTTTGAGTTTTTTAAATTTGAAAATTCACTATGGTACTGCCCTCGTTCGCTGTGTGACACCGCCTACTACTCCCCCATCACCTCCCCAATCCGAAGCTCATCCCCTCATACAGGACCTTTTAATGGGGTATTTTTTTTAACCAAATAAATATACAACTTTATGCATATCAGCAAAATTTCGCTTCTTCCACCTTTTCGGTATTTCTTCCGGGCCACTGGAACAAAATTGGAAGAAATGGACGAAAATGGAAGAAATTAAAAATAGGGGTTAAATGATAAGGCGTAGACCTCAATTTAAGGCGAGGATTTCAGATCAGTCAGAGAGGAAATTCGTTGACAATTTTGCACACTACCATTTTTATTAATTCAAATTTAATTAATTAGATTGAATAATAAATGTAAACCACTTTTTAAACTGTGCAGATAAGTTCAGGTTGCCCCAGAATACTTCCTTCCATTTCTTCCACTTTTGTCCACTTGGACTCAAAGTGGACGGAGGGAAGAATCCACTTTCTTCCATCCACATTCTTCCATGCGAAACCTTTATCAATCAGTCTCACCTTTATCAGTCTCACCTTTGCAACAGTTTTATTACACTCTTGGTCATAGTTGGGTAACCCAACTTGGGTTTCTCATAGTCAGATGAATCAGTGACTCTCAGCGTAAGAGAGCGTAGTTCCTTTCTAACGATGAGCTTAGAAAAGCACGACATGCAACGGCCTGCTTCCTTCCACGACCGAGTCAACCCTCTCCTCGTCCACCATAAAATATCACCGTGATCGATTTTCTCCACTTTCACTTCATCCTGCGGAGGGACTCAGCTGCTATTTTTTTATTAGCCTTTGTAGAAATGGGGGATAGTAAGTATAACGTGGTGTCAAAATTTGTAGCGGTTTTGGATTTGGTAAATAATTTATTCCAATAATTAGTAATTATTCACCCTCATTAATTAATTTAATATTCTCGTCTGTGTATACTAATTGTAAAAGGGAAAGGAAGTAACTCTCTTCTTGTAATTTTGAAAAGAGTAAACTTCTTACAAAACAAAGTTTTTGAAATTAATCCAAAAGTGTACTTTTTTGCAGGCTTGAAAACAAAAGTGAAATTAAAAATGTTAAGAATGAGTGAAGGTTCTTACTAGAAAGTTCCATCATTTTTCTTAGAATTTCACAAAACATCTGTGTATTACTTCATTTACTTTTTTTGTAATAATCGTATTTTACTGTGTAATTTTCATTGTTACTCTCCATCGGAATTCTTCTTTGGATTGGGTGGAACATTTTCCTCGGGGATGAATCCTTACATTTGCCAAGCGATGGAAAGAAGAAGGAACAGACAGACAAGATCCCAAGTCGGTACATACGTATAAAGAAATATTTAGATAATTTTGTGGGGATTTAATAATTCGATACTTTTTTAGTGGTGGTAATTCCCTTGTTATCCCTGGTCATTGGTGGGCTGGGTGTTATCTATGCTATACGGCTTCTTAATGCGACCGACTCGGAGGTATGTGTACAAGTAAATATGTGTGGCATTAAATATTTATGCAGTGTTTCGGGTGCAAGTAACCACCTGCAAGAAATAACCGCAAGAAAGTGGTTTCTTGCAGTTATTTTTACCCGCAAGAAATGCAAGTTGCAAGAAACTCCTTCCCGCCGCTATATTTCATAGGGCACGTCGCTAGATGGCGTCGCGTTTCTTGCACTTTTTCCGATTTTTTTCACCTTGCATTTCTTGCAATTTCTTGCTTTGCAGTGCAAGAAATTAAAAAAAAACGCAAGAAACGAAACACTGTATTTATGTACCAGGGGTAATGGTGAGACGAGATGAGGTGAAAATTTGTCATCAAATGGACATGTTTGCTTATCATTTCCCATCTGTACTTGTTTAAGTATTATCTTATCTTATCATGTAATGAAATAGATGTGAAGGGGCTTCATCTCAGCTCGTTTTATTGACAACCCTACCAACTGGGTCAGAGTGTTTTTAATGATATATTGAGGAAATCCGAATGTCCGAAATATTGATATTCTTGGGATACTTACTATGTTACAAACTTAACATTTCTTAATGATGTACTACATAGATATTCGCAAAATTTTGTTAAATCATCACCATCATGATTCAACCTTATTGTATAGATATTGTCTCAACTTTGTTTAAAGTTTACACAACGTGGTATAAATTTGATATAAAATGGCGAAATTTTACGCCATGTGATAGCAAAAATTTACACAATATTTATGGTAGAGTCGCATACATACATATGCATATTAGACGGTGATGATTTAATACAATTTTGTTAATAGTGTATCCATAACATAAATAGGAGTTTATTGGGACATCAGTTAGCATTAAATATGATATTTTTTTAATAATAATAATAACACATTTTTGATACAGATGAGCAGTGCTATGACGCAAATTCAGAAAAGAGGAACGATTCGGAATTGGATTAAAGTTTCGATCTGTATATGTATTTGTATATTGATTCTGGTTACAACAATGGCCATTGTGTCCGGGGGGTTGAGTCCAACTCTTGCTGGAGGTGCTTTGTTTGCCGTATTGTTTAAAGTATTTGGGATTTCCGTAGTGTATTTATTTTACAAGGATTTAGAAATAAATAGTGAAATTGGAGGGGTCGATGGATGAAAATAAATATTGGGAAAATACAAAAAGTTTATTGAATGCATTAGTTATTATTTATTTTCAGCATTTATGAATGTATGTATGTACGCACTATAAAATATTAACATTTTGATTTTTAAGAATTTAGCTAATTATTTTTATATAAAAATGGATTTTGCCGGAACGTTTCTCAATAAAGATGCATAAAAGCACTGATGAATTTTTGTGAAAATGGATAATTTCTTAAATATCCAAATTGTAATATTTATAAAGTGTAGAAATGTTTTAAAACCAATACAAATATATTTTTGGCGTGACGTGGGTTCGAATCCTCCATGGCTTGCTAACTTTTTCACAGTGTTGCAATCCTCTTTTCAACTATACAAATTTTAGGATAGTTTTCAGCAATATGTGTAAATTATGTCCATAATTATGGAATACTTTTGTTGATATGATATTAATGCTTGTTGAAAGTGATCCGGCTCATGGAGGAATGCAACAAGCCAAATGTCAGGTTCGGTACGTACATATTCGCAGAAAGTTTGGAATCCTTTCACAGAAGTTTTTTGTTGTTGGTTTGGTGACCAATGCACTGCATGGGGTATCATGATACGCCGGAGTGTATATACATACATATGTGTTCATCAGATTTCGAATTTTATATGATTTGTTTACCTCGTTTTTATCATATTTTTTCATTCACAGTTTGAGATTTTGGCGTGCTTACGGCGCCCATAAGTCGCCGAATTTTGCGCATGCCGCACCAAACCTTGTTTGTATAGAGTTTGCCTATAAAACTGTCCTGGTCATGAAAGGATCTGAGTTTAGCACTTGATCCGCTCACATTGTCATTGTTATCATATGAAAAATAGTTTAACGGTGCTCATCAAGCTGTAACGCCCCCTGTCCTTATCTGGGGTTGCGTGTCCCGAATTCACACCCACTTTCGCGGATGTCCCTTATTTTGTGACTTATATGCAATAAATTATGTAGAATTCGTTCACTTTTAAGGTAACACTTTTATTTACATCAATACCGACTGAAAAATATTGATTTACCGAATAACTTATATCATTAAATATGTGGGAGAGCTTAACCTAATATTTATATTTCCTAAAAATAACTGGGAACTTATTCTATTCAATATGAAAACTAATATCTGGAGATAACCTTGATGGATGCAAAACTAAACCTTCTTCCTTCGTGTCTAAAACCAGACTCCTTATCTCATTGTAGCTATTCATCTTCTACTGTTGCATTGGAGTTGTGGCAATGCGAGTTGTGTCAATGAGTCTATCCTTCCCATTGCCACAACTCTGGCTACCCTTTCCATTGCCACAACTCTGAGTTGTGGCAATGGGAGTTGTGGGAATGAGAGTTGTGGCAATGTGTCCTATAATCTAACATTGCCTATAATCTAGCATTGGGTTTACAACCGTATAATCTAGCATTGGATTTTCCACCTTAATTAATAGTTAATTATATCCCAACCCTACTAATTGTTATCATTAAAACTAATTGAATTATAAGCCTAGATACCCTCTAAATATATATCAATTAATTTCATAATTGAATATGCTTCTATCTTGGATATATATGATTATAGAACCTAACCTTTTTAATGCTGATGTTGCATGGACATCAGAGTTACAAAGGTTGCACTCCCCTCCCAAACGTTACTTAACAATGGAGCGTCTCCACCGTGAAGTAACGTAAAGAGAGTTAGGGCAAGATTACTAAATTAATAATAAAACTACAATGATAAACTAACCTAATTGTTAATCATAACCTACAATAATAAGATGATCTACAGTTATTGATAACCTATGTGTATGTATGATGCTTACGTAACATTATGATGTCCTGATGACAGATCCACATTTCCCATAACTAATAACTAAACTAAATTAAGATTCTTTAAATTATCCTAAGGTGTAAACTTAATATGTATTAAGTGTGAAAATGTAAAGGACTTTTATCAATTACTTATCAAGAAACAATTTGTCGAAATGTCGACTCACACATATGTGTATGTACTTACTGTGTAATGATGTACAGTGAACTTGTGTAAATGTTTTAACTTGAAGTAGATGGACTAAAGTAAATAATATATATTATCTATTAAGACTGAAACGAAATATCTAGACGAATTACTAATAAATTATTTTTGAAATTCGTGAATCATCATCACACATGATAATCAAGTTACTCATATGAAAGTGTTACATTAAAGTACAAATGTCACCAAAGATATGTTCTTACAATGCCAACCGTCCGATCAACCAAGAATATTGCGACTTTTCGAAGTTTTTGAGGGACTCAGAGGACTGCACGATATGAAATCTAACTCATAGTGCAATTTGTATGGATTGTGACCCTGGCTAGTTCATCACGTCGCCAAGACACATCCTATTGCGTGGCCACTAGTTAATATCACAGTGAACTAGATTAATGACGACCCTGAAGAGCTCATCACCCCTCAAGACGCCACCAAATTTTCGTTCTATTCGAAGATGAGAAAGAAAATCACCATCAAACATCCTAGGAATCACACTCATTTCGGAGAACCTTGTCGATCTTTTAATTGTTGGCTGCGACTACGTCTTGGAGGCGGTGGAGGAAATTGTGAACTATTTTTAGTGTTTGTTACAGAATCATTGGAAAGATTTGAAATTGGAGTGAGAACTGGCATTTCTCGTTCTTGATTATCATTATGGGAATGTGACTCTTCTACGTTAATTTTATCTAACTTAGGAATTATATGTCTAGATTTACTACGACTATTTTTAACCTTAAAATTATCAGTATTAATTTGTACATCATCATTATCATTGCGATTTATAGCATAATCATTATTATTTAGTTCATTATCAATTGTATTTGGTTGAGATGACGATGCGTCGACATTGGAGTGATCGTTGCGTTGAGTTGGAGTCGACGTAATTTGTGTAATTTGTGGTAATTGTGAAGATTGTGTCAATGTTTGTGGCGACGATTGAGGCTGACGTGGCTGATAGCGACGAAGAAATTGAATGTGAAGTGGAGTTTTCACTGTGCCGTCAGGGAATGTGACTTCATACGTGAGGTCGCCCACAATCTTAGAGATGACTCCCACTCCCGGACGAAAGAGAGGGCATAGGCATGCCGCAATCCCCTTGTCCTTGTCAGAGAGAGTGGTGTCGCGGATGACTACGTGGTCCCCCACTTGGAAATGGTCATCTCTGTGTCTCTGATCATAGTATTTCTTTTGTTTTTCCTTGGCTTTGGTCAGGTTCTGCGTCATAAGAGAAAGAATTTTAATATATTGTTTATGCCTATCAAATATAATGTCTTGAAATGTCTTAGGAATTGACTTCTTTAAAACTTTTAGTTCATTGTCAGTGAGGCCAACATTAATATTGAATGGTTAATTAGGCTTTTTCCATGTTCTTTGTTTCTTCAAAGCTGATTCTTTTTCACATCTTCTTGAATCCAGTTAATCCTGTTGCTGTTCTCGTTTCGTTAGAGCTCATATAGAAGTGCCAACTCTGAGCAAAAAATTTTAAACTTTCCAAATTTTTTTATCGGCCGTTTATGGCCATGGAGTCAAAACCTTCTAGGGTAAAGGTTCATTCAGGTCTTCAATCCAAACATGATTCACAGCCAGTCGTACAGACGGGCTAACTTACTAATGAATGAATAGTTCCCCATTAAAGCAATATTTTTATTTTTAGTCATTTTCTGTGATAGGCTGTATTTATTGGGCAATTGAAAATATGTGTTCAATGGCGGGAAAAACCATGCATAAATAATGACTGAATACTCAATTTGAATTTCGAAATACTTATGTGAACAATTTTTTGCACAGGTGAGGAGAAGACTGTCCTCTTCTCAACCAAAATTGGTACACCGGCTTATCGAGCACCCGAATTGGACACGGGCACATACACCAACTCGGCCGACCTTTACTCCTTGGGGTTAATCTTGTGGGAAATTCTATGCCAGATTCCTCCCAAACAGAAAAACGTCTTCTTTAGACGTCTCAAAGGCAAAGATTACACCGTCCTCGACACGGACAAAACTGACTCAATCCTTTCCAACGGGGCAGGTATAATCGTTTCCCTGATCAAGGAAAAATCTGGGGACAGGCCTCAGTCCACGCGGGAAATTAGGATCGTCACCGCACCTCGAATCCGCTTCACTCCGGGTGACACGTTTCAATTAAAAACGTTCCTCGATTGTGGCGGGCACGGCGGTAGGATTGAGCTGGGTCGAGTCTTGTGTCACAAAACGAGCCTATCTTATCGACAGGATACCATGATTTTGGAGTGGAATCTTACACTGACAAAAAATCTAACGAATCTGGTTACAGCTTGGAATCCGGCTGTCTCATCAAGGGTACTGAAGCCGACGATTTGTACGGATTTGACATCAACCTCATTGGAATAGAGACGGGAGGAAGTTTGAAGAAAAATTTGTGGTTGAGGTGCTTATACCTCCATTTGCAATAGGGACATAATAGTCCTGACGTCATGAAAGGGTGGACCAATCCAGCATCAGTGAGAATTTATCAAGATAAATTTGAATTAAGTGGTGTCACTGATTTGGAGGGGAAAATTGAGACCGTTGACGATATTGGGATATACGATCGAAAATTGGCCATTGTTATAGAGTGCGACGCATGCGTGATAGGGCTAAGGGGTGGCGAATAAGATTTTTTTGAAGCAGGCTGGATCCACAATTTGGACGATGTGCTAAAAAAACATAGGGATTCGGTAATAATTGTGGAGAGGGCGCATATATTGTTGAAATAGGTCTAATCTTAGCATGGTTGGATTAAACAAGTCGGCGCATTATTAACAACCTTTAGAATTATTAACAACTTTTTGAAGTATGAACAAACTTTCGAGTAAAATAATATATTTTAACTGCATTGCCACTATCAAAGCTGATTTGATGAATTCCATTCACTAAAGTCATAAACCTAAATTATACATAGCGAGATTCATGTATGTTAAGTATATCCGTGATTAACAAAATTCCGATCTAGTAACAATTTATCTAATGAATCCGTTG